ACACACACACACACACACACACACATACACACAAACACTCAGAGACGCACACATACAAACACATTTTTACTTCCCCCTCCTTTCTTTTCAACCCCCCCTCCCCCTCCCACACACCCAACTGTCCCCCTCCCTTCCCCTTCCTCTCACCCCATCTCCAAAATCCTGTCATTTTGCATAAAAAGTAAAGCGGAACAAACCAAGTCCTGACAGCGGTCAGACTCACATTGTCATCGGACCAACCCCAGCACTAGGAACCCTGGTAAGCTTCCGCGACCCTCCAAACTCCTCCCAAATCAATGTGAAGCTGCGGGGAAGGGCAGGTAACTCCTTCCGCTGTCTCATGCCGCGCGCGCTGGCTGAGTGAGCGGTCGGGCGCAAGGGGGAGAGAACCCACGGCTCGCTCTCAAGGCGAACGAGAGGCTGGTGGAGCCCTGTCTAAATGTGTCGGCCTCGCATTATGCAGCTGTGACGACATACGAAGAGATCACGCACGGTGAAGCTACGTGTATTTCGTAAAGGAAATTATAATCAGCAAGTGATAGGTAGCGACAATACTTCAGCTCGCAGCGACGTTTTGGTTTGGCTTATCGATCATTTTGTTTGAACTTAAGATTACATAATAACAGTATTCAACTCGAAAGGTGTTTATTTATTGATTTGACGTTTGTTTCTTCTGATTTCATATTTTTCCAACACTGAAGTTTTGGACTATGTTTGGTTTGCCTTAGCTATTATTATCTTTTACTTATGCTTTTATTTTGACACTCAAGCCAACGTTTTCCAGTTTGTTCACAACCACGCCAGAGCCAAACCATTGCGTGCTTTTAGGAATTTTAAAAAGTTGTTATTACCTTCGTTCTTCATTTTAAAATCTTTCTTTCGCCAGGATCTGTAATTGCTGGTGCTTTGAAAAGTTAGCAACACTGTTTATAAAGTTGTGAGATTGTAACATCGTATAGTTGGAAACGCTTTTCACCACTCTGTTGGTAACTTTCATTATTAAAGGTTTCTTGTTACTCAAGTAGGAGTGAGCAATGTCCTGAATTCTGTTCAATTAACATTTTCCTCTTTTTCTTTTTCATTTTGTTATTCTACTTGGAAAGTCTACTCGCAGCAAATTGCGTGCTCATGAAATTTTAAAGCACCCGACAATGAATTTTGACTTTTTAAAGAGTAGGCTATAATCAATAAATTCAAAAAAATCTAAATTCCGTAAACACTTTTAACAACGACGGTGTGTATTTTGCCGTACAGACTGGAGCTCAAAGTGTCACGTGATGTAGAATACCTGATTTCTTTCTTTTTCAGCTGTTTAAAAAAAAGTTCAATCAATATCCCTTTATGACTTTCAACAACCTGCCATTCTTGCAAAACCCTTTAAAGTATCGCAAAAAAAAAGGAATTGAAAAGGTAAGAAGAAAGCCTGCCCGTTCTCGAGTGACGGTGAGCGCTATCGAGTTTCTGATAAGAGAGCCAAGAGTGATAGGTTATTATGCGCTAAACATACGTTAAAAGAGCCGTGCCTACAACTTTATACATCATTCCTCCGTGGGGGCTGTTATGCCACACGGGTTTCTCAGCGAGTGACAGTGAGAGATTTTACGGAGTATTAGACACCTGTCCACCCAGTCAAGATGAGAGCAGTTCTCTTCCTCGTTGTTCTTGTGCCTTGCTTCGGTGAGTGAAATGTTGGTTTAGGTGTCCGTTTTTTGTTTTGTTTTATTTTTATTTTGGGTGTGTGGGTGTGTGGGTATGTGTGTGTGTGTGTGGGGGGGGGGGGGGGGGGGTTTGACATGGGATTTTTTTTTCAGATTTCGATTTGTTGTGATAAGCCGAGAATTTAGCCTCGGATACAACTTAACCTGTGCATGTTTTTTAAAACTTTTATATATTTCTCTTTCACCTGGATATCATCACTCTTGTTGTTTCTGTTTTTTATGGTGTTGGTGGTTGTTGTTGTGTTGATGATGATGCTGATTTTGTTGTTGTTGCTGCTGCTGTTGTTGTTGTTGCTGCTGTTGTTGTTGTTGTTGTTGTTGTTGTTGTTGTTGTTGTTGCTGTTGTTGTTGTTGTTGTGGTGGTGGTGGTGGTGTGTGGTTGCTGTATCGCTTTGCTATCTCAACATTATACTCATCGTCTTCATTGTCACTGGTAGCAGCTTGAACGATTTCCCGAAACCACAGAGATTCCAGCAGTCGTGGCTGCGACAGTGCCATATTCAGCATAATTAACAACAGCAACTGCCATAACAGAAGCAACACCACCATATGCACAACAGCGGCAAGATGCAAGCTACTGATCCCACAACCCTAGGCATCTACCATTCCTCCCCCATTCCTCCTCCACCTCTTCCTCCTCCTCATCCTCCTCCTCCTCCTCCTCCTCCTCCTCATGATGATGATGATCATCATCATAATGAGCAGTAGCAGCAGCAGAAGCAGCAGTAGCGGCAGCAGCAGCAGCATAAAAAACAATAGCATCAGCAAAAGCAGTATCAGCAGCAGTAGTAGTAGTAGTAGTAGTAGTAGTAGTAGTAGTAGTAGTAGTAGCAGTAGTTATAGTAGTAGTAGTAGTAGTAGTAGTAGTAGTAGTAGTAGTAGTAGTAGTAGTAGTAGTAGTAGTAGTAGTAGTAGTAGTAGTAGTAGCGGCAGCTGC